CATCGGCACCGGCAGCAGCAGCTGCTGGCGCCAGCTGCCGCCGGCGACATCCAGACCTCTCCGCATAGACGCGCGATTCAGAAGAGCCTGGCGCCCGTGACTTCACTCCTGCAATCTGAACGTCGTCGTGTACATCATCTTATACATCACATCGAGATGCGCGTACACAACATCCTTTTGATTAATGTATGTAACACATCGGGCGACCGGGTCCCCCGGCCTGGGAGCGGCCCACTTTTCCGAAACTCCTTCCCCCCCTGGCGTCAAAGAGGCCCCAAAGAGGCCGCAAGGGCGCTCCGAGAGGATTTCCAAGAGGGCCTCAAGAGCCTAAATCATGGACTCTCCTGGTATTTTTCCATGTCTTTCGCGTTCTCGCGATTTCGGGCTTCCGACGCTCCAAGACTGCCCAGAAAGGCTCGAACATCGCCCAAAGACGGCCCAAGAGGCCCCCGAAGAGGCCCCCTAAGAGGCCCCCAAGAGGCCCCCAAGAGGCCCCCAAGACGGCCCAAGACGGTTGCAACACTCATTTGATAGCGAGTCGCGCGCGTGCTTCTAGTACATCATATTCACCAGAACGATGCCGGAGTTGCTATCGAACGGGCCGCGGACGACAAATGAGCCTCTAGGTCTCCAAGTCTTGTATCGTGCTATGCCCCCAGTTTCTGTCCCTAGAAACCAAGGCGTCCAGAGGAATACCGTTCAAGGCCCCTCGCATCGCATTTGGGTTCAGGGTTGATTTTGCATATATATATATATATATATATATATATATATATATGTGTGTATGGAGGAGTGGCCAAGGCACGTCATCCGGAGCGGTTCCAACCACCTTTCGCATTGCAGTGCGGCACCATGTCGCTGTGGAGGGAACCTCCCGTTGTGGCCCCGGCCACTGTGGACCCTCCCCTTGGGGGCAAAGGGGGCCCCACCTGTCGTGACCCCCCCGAGGGTGCGGGCACAGTGCTCATGCTGATCCCTTTCGGTTGGGCGGGGAAGTGGAGGGAGCAGGAGGGGCAGGAGGATAATGGGCAGGAGGAGGAGGAGGGCGAAGAAGAGGGGGTCGAGGAGGAGGAGAAGGAGGAGGAGGAGGACGAGCCGGAGGTGTCTTAGGGGATGTATTGGGGGCTGTGAGGGCGGTCAGAAACGCATTTGAAGAACGTAAGAGGAGACGCCAGGGTGGCGCGGGCGTGCCTCCCGATCTTCTTGGTGCAGACGAGATTGTCCTTTTGATGTCATCGTTCTTCAGGTTCTACTTTGTGTTTTCTGAAACTGTAATGCATCTTACTGCGCCAACTTCCTGCTACGACCACAATTGTGCAGAAACCCGGTTCACAGGTGAAGACTGAAATCGAGAAGGCCTTCCCATTTCTTGTTTGTCGGCTCGTGTCCTGAAAAATGGCATGTCGCATGCTGCGCTGATGCTGCGGCTGATGCTGACGATGATCTTGTTGACGGCGGTGCGGCGGCTTATGCCGAATGTGACGATCGAAGCCTCAGCCTGCCGCGCCCCAGTCTGGGGGGCCCCGCCCATGACGCAGGGGCCGGGGGTGAGCCCGCAGCCCAGGCCGCACACGTTCCCCGTCGTCCACGGGCGGCCCCTGCACCCTCCTAGGTCACGAACGCGTGGCAGGGCCATGGGCTTCTCACCAGTTTTGCAGCCCGCTCGGGTCAAGAACGCGTGGCAGGGCCATGCAAGGGTTCTGAGCACTTGAGCCCTCCCCTTTCACGAGCGCGTGGCAGGGCCGTAGGACTCTCACCGTCTGAGCCCTCCTGGGTCATGAACATGTGGCGGGCCAGAGGGTTCGATTATGCCTTCAGCAGGACGCATCAGCGAGGCTACATTGGGCCCTCACAAGTACGCGTCAACATCCCTGGATGGAGGAGGGGCGGGGGAAGGGGGGAGGAGGAGGAAGAGTTGGAGGAACTTCTGTAGATCAGTACACACACACACACACACACGCACGCACACACGCCCGCGCACTGCCACACGCAGCGGTCGGAGGTGCACGCGCGGTACGTCCCCTAGGGCTTCTCTAGGTGATGAATTTGGAACTGTGCGATGCCTTGCCTAACAGACATCGGGCCGTCGAGTCGTCGTCAGTCGGCGTCGTCGTCGTCCTCGCCCTCCCTCGCCCCGTCGCGGAGGAGGGGGAGACGTGGCGGCGGACGAAGGGGGACAGGGGGGGCGAGGCGAGGGAAGAGGAGGTGGAGGAGGGAGGAGGGAAGGGTCAGCGAGGAGGGAGGAGTGTGCTACGTTGAATGAAAGAGTTCTCCTCCATCAGTTGTGGACTCAACTATAGCAGGGTGCTTGGCTGGGGTGGTTGCTTTTGTTCGGCTCAGGCGGTTCTCGAAGCTAAGGCCCGCGGATCTTCTTTGACTTTTCTCTGGCCCGAACGCCCCGGTCACTGCCGCGTTCAACTCGCTGGCCGAGGTCAGCGTGCCGCTCGACACCCTCAGGCAGCCCCTGCGTGATATGATTCTCGCTTCGTGGACTACCCATCTTCGGGGGTTCGTGGCCTCTAGGGAGGAGGAGGGCGGATGGGGCGTGAGGAGGAGGAGGAGGAGGAGGAGGAGGAGGAGGAGGAGGAGGAGGAGGAGGAGGAGGAGACAAAGAGGAGGACAAGGAGGACAAGGAGGACGAGGAGGAGGAGTATGAGCAGGAGACGGAGAGGATCGGTGGGAGGGGCAGGAGGAGGGGAGACGGACGAGGGAGGGGATGGGGAAGGGGGGGAGGAGGCATGCAGGGAGGAAGGGTGGGAGGAGAGGGGGGGGAGGAGCAGGGAGGGACCGAGCCCTGGTGCCCGCAGCGCCCTCCACGTGTGTTCGCTTCCTTGGCATCGGACTCCCCTCGCGCTGCCTCGCGTCCTCCTCTCCTGGTCGGCTGCCGCTGCAGCCTCCTCGGCGCGCTGCGCTTCCCGGCTTCGGCTTGTCAGCGTCGCACTGCCTCTTCGTCGCCCGTCCTGTTCTCCGGGCCTTCCCCTCGGGAGACTTTTCATGGGGGGGGATCCCATGGGGGGATAGGATCCCAGGGGGGGGATCCCATAGAATCCCCTGGGGACCCCATGGGGGGGGCAGGAGGGGATGCCATGGGGGGGATCCCGTCCTGCCCCCCCATGGGATCCCCCCCCATGGAGAGTCTCCCGAACCTTCCCCCGTCCGCGTTCCCCTTGCGCGTGCCCCCTCGCGAATGCTGCCGTCCATCGCCCGCGGGCGGGCCCAGCTGCTCCACGCTCCGTGAGCTGGCCCGGTCCGCGGGGGCTCGTCGCTCGACCTGCCCAGGGCCGCGTCGCCGCGCGCGCGGCCGTGACGCGCCAAACATGTGTTCGTTCCTTTTGCATGCCTCTCGCATTCGTGCCACGGCCGCAAGAAAACATAAGAATACTTCAAATACTGTTTTCAAGACTGCCGCAAGTTGGACCACGACAGTCAGCATATCATTTCAAGACGTCCCAAGACCAACTTAGACGTCTACACGATCCTTCCATACGGCCCAAATGCGCTGTAGACGGCGCCAAGACTCCAAAGCGGCTCTAAGACACCCAACACGCACCTGACAGGCTGCAAGACAAGCACAGATGGCCTCTGGACGCCCATCTACTGGCCGCCCGATAAGCTCCCAATCGGCCCCATGCGTATGCTCGAACACACGTGCCCATGCCACGGTATAGGATTTCCGTGCCATGGACACGGATTCTAGAAACACTGCAATGACGACCTACCAGCAGACCACCCCACACCAACCCTACTGGAAATGGAAAGCAAATCGGGGCCTTCGGGTTGGGTTGGGGTGGTTTGGTGGGCGGTGAGCAACGGCACAATCGCGCAACGGCATGGCATTCTCACATTGCGTTCCACTCCTAGTGGCGGGTATGCGCTGCAATGGGAGTATGTAACTGTTTGCTGTTCCTCATGCCCGCATCTAGATAGAATCACCAACATGGACGGCACTTTTTGTCCTAGCGTGGACGCCCTCATGAGCCTCCCCAGTGGTTCAGCAGTACAGTTCGATTTCCCCCTGTTCCTGCTGAGGCTACGAAACAAACATGGGCCATGCCACTTCTGTGTCTGTCAGCTCGTCTCGGAAAGTCGGCGCAACGTACATCTGAAAGCTTCTGCAAAGGCCCCACCTTCCAACAAGCTCCTTGAAACCATGTGCCTCGGAGGCCCCAAGATGACCTCCAAGATGGCTGAATGTAGCCCAAGGTGCCTCAAGATGGCTCCCAAAATGCTCCACGAAGCCCCAAGAACGCTCCAATACGGTTCGAAGTGGCCAACGAAATCCCCACGAAAGCCCCGAAGAGGCCAATCCTTCCAATACCTAAGGAGCACCAATGCTTTTGCTGTCTCGCCTTTTCGCTTCTGATGGCCATCCGGGGCTTCAAAGCTCCAAGATTGGCCAACAAGGCCCCAAGAGAGGCCCAATATTGCTCCAAGACGGCCCCAAAAACGACCAAGAGCGCTACAAGAGCGCCTCAAGAGGAGATTGTTGGGGCTCCCGAGGGGCCCAAGAAGGCCCCAAGAGGCCCCCAAGAGGCTTCCAGGAGGCCCCCTTGAGGACCCCAAGCGGCCCCAAGAGGCCTCCCGAGGCACCCATGACGCCCAAGAGGCCCCCCAGGACAGCCAAGAGACTCCCAAAACGTCTCAAGCGGCCTTCAAGAAGCGCCCAAGAGGTATCCCAAGAGGCTCCGAGAGGCATCCTAGAGATCTCTGGCCCTTTTGCTTGCCCTCTTCCTCATCCTGCCCCTCCGTCCTCCTCCTACTCCTTCTCGTCCTCCTCCTCCTCCTCCTCCTCCTCCTCCTCCTCCTCCTCCTCCTCCTCCTATTCATCCTCCTTTTCCCCACTCCCTCATCCATCCATCCAGCCTCCTCATTCTCCTCCTCCCTCCTTCGCACGGTTCGGCCGTCCCCGTCTTTGCTCCCACATTTCCCTGATCACCTCAACTCGCCTGGGCATCGTTTCTGGATGGGCTGGTGGGGATACGCGCAGCGTCTAGAGTCCCCCCTGCTGAAGTGCGCATCGTTTCTCTATCGCCGACCACTTTTTCTGCCCACCTCGTGCAAGGCTGCGAACAATCACGAGAGCTACGGCAGTGCTGCTGCAGCACGCGGTCAGGGTGTGAAGTTCATGCTGAAGGTGAGACCTCCATGCCGCAGTGTAAGTGACAAGTCTAGCAACAAGGTGAGACATTCATGCCACGAGGAAAGAAATCAATGCCTCCCCGTCGGGTGCCGCGCGATGCCTCCGCGGACGGATCAACCCGAGGCAACGGACTCGATATCGCTCCTCTCCTGGTCTCTCTCGGACCCCTCGCTGCCCACCTCATCTGGCACGGCGGCGAGCGCAGCCCGCGCAGGACGATGCGCGCCCTCGTCGCCAGACTGGTCCGGCACGTCCTGGTGCTCAGACTCATCCAGCACGTCGTCGTCATCCTGGTGCTCAGACTGGTCCAGCAGGTCCTGATGCTCAGACTCGTCCAACACGTCTTCGGACTCTCCCAGCACGTCGTCGTCAGACTCGTCCTTCTCTACACGACTGGCCTCGTCGTCCTCGAAGTCGCCGTCCGCGTACCCGTCCTCGTCCGCCTCGTGCTCATCGGAGCCGTCATCCCGCGTCGACGGACAGCGCAAGGCCGCCTGGCTGGCTGGCTTTGCGGCCGGCAGAATCACTGAAGGCTCCTCGAGATGCTGGGCTGGTTCCGCCTCCTCGGTCTCGAAGTCGTCATCGCTGTAGGCATCATCCTTGACGTTCTCGGCTAGCCTGGCCTCCGCCTTCTCCTGGAGCGCCGGGCCGGCTTGCTGCCCCAGCCGGCGACGCCTGCGGCCTGCGCTACTCGCAGAAGACACCGACGCGTCTCTGGAAGAGCTGCAGTCACTGCTATGCTCCCTGCCGCGGCCGGCGGTGGCGCTGGGCAGGGGGTCCACTGTCGGCCACCGCGCGTGTAGCGCCTCTATCAACATCGACATGCTGCACGTGGGAGGATTACCGCGAGACAGCTCCGCAAAGAGTTCGTTCAGATTCAGCGGCGTGTCCGTCATCACGCCCAGACTGTACAGCGGCGCCTTGAACCTGCCCTTGTCTAGCTGCTCCTCCAGTGTCGGCAAATTCCTCAACTGGGAGACGATGTCGCGAGGCCGCCCCGACTTGCCGTGCTTGTTGACGAGTCGGCCCACGAGGTCCTCTAGAACCGGCGTCTGCCCCGACGTGGCGCGGCCCTTCTCAACGAGCAGCCTGCTGCAGTCGTCAGTGGCACGCAGTGGGAAAAGACGGCGTTCCTTGGCCGGCGCGGTGCTGTCGACTTCCTGGGCGTTGAAGGCCCGATCCGCGGCCTGAATTGGAGGGGCGCATTCGGGTGTCATGGTTCTTCCAGCCTGCTCGTGGCGTACCCAGACGTCGCCGTCATCCCACACGAGGCTGCCACCTCTCAACGTCCCCCTGCACTTCTCGTCCGAAGCACCCGTGAGGACGACCCTCTCGTGGCTGAAGGCCTTCAGGGTCCAAGGCTGCAGACTGGGGCGGCTCGCCCACTTGACCCTGCCGCTCTCCACGAGCACGGAGTCCGGGGGGCTGGCGCTGCGCCAATACCCGCCCAGAGACTCAATCTGGAGGACCTGGGCCCGGGCAAAGAGAATGCCCCTCTCCCCTTCCCCCCTCCACCTCAACCTCCAGTCCGTCCCCATCGTCGTCGTCACCCTTCTCCTCTTCACCCTCCTCGTCCTCCTCATCCTCCTCCTCCTTTCCCTCCTGCCCCTGACCTGGGACCCAACATCCGAACGAACCGCAGAAGTCGCACGGTGTGTTGCCAGGCGCAAGTTTTTGCTGGTGCTCCTTCTCCCTCCTCCACTCGATGCTCCCTCCTTATGTTTCTCCTCCTCCACTCGATGCTCCCTCCTTATATTTCTCCTCCTCCTCTTTCACGAGCTGCTTCCCCTCCTCCCTCTGTTCCCTAAACTCTTTCCTGTGCCCCCCATATTCTTCGAATGCTCTTCTTGCACGTCCTCCTGTTCCTGGTTGCTCCCCTCTGCTGCTCGTCCTGTGAGGCGGGCGCGGATCACGCCAGCGGATCACAAACGAACGAGATTCACATCTTCGGGTGGGCCGCCCGAGTCCGTCTTTTGTGACCCTCTTGCGACTTACCCTGCGCTGGGCCCATCTCCCGTGTACACACGACCCCACTGCACTCGCACAGCTGCATCGGCAGCTCGATTCCCAGGCCAGTGCGGATACAACGTGTAGCCCAAGAATATGCGAATCTCCTTCCCTTCGCTTCGCTTCGCTCGCAGCTCGATGTCCCGTTGGACGAAGCTGTTCGCGCGGCCGCGGCCGCGCGCGCGCGCCCGAGGCGCGCGGAGGGGGCCACCCCCCCGACACGGGCCCCCGCCAGGAGGGCAAGGAGTAGAAGCCGCCTAGGCCTCGCAGGAGAAGCCGCTCGGGCCTCGCAGGGGGAGAAAAAGGGGCCCAGAAGCTTCGGGGCGGAGGGGGGGATCTCCTTCCCTGCCCTCCCTTCCTGCCCGCAGGGGGCGCCTGTCCGGGCAGACGGGACGGAGCACGGAGCTCGCACCATTGTCCTCTTCGGGGGCCCTCTCGTGCCAGCCGTGGCCTGTCCTGACCCGCGCGCCGACCGATTCTCCCAGCCTCTCGAGGAGCCTGACCGCACGATGAACGGGAAGCGCCGTGTTTGCTCCTCCTCCTCCTCCTCCTCCTCCTCCTCCTCCTCCTCCTCCTCCTCCTCCTCCTCCTCCTCCTCCTCCTCCTCCTCCGCCTCCTCCTCCTCCTCCTCCTCCTCCTCCTCCTCCTCCTCCTGACCGCACAAGAACGGGAAGCGTGTCTGTCGTCAAGGCTCTGGACGCCAGCGTTCGTACTGGGAGCTCTGGCGTTCGAGGCTGCCCACGTCATCGTTCGTAATGGAGCCCTGGGAGGTCGTGGTCGGTCTGTCGTAGGCCTCTTACGAGCAATTCTGAAGCCTCTTGGGGGCCGTTTTTGGGGGCCGTCTTGGGGGCCTCTTGGGGGCCTTTTTGGGGCCTCTTGGGGGCCTCTTGGAGCGTCTTGGGGGGCTCTCGGGGGCCTCCTGGACCCTCCGGGGGGGGCACTTGGGGCCGAGGACCCGAAAAGTCCGTTCGTGTACCTCGTCTGGGCTCTAGGAGCCATATTGACGGCCTCTTGGGCCGCCGCGAAGCCTCTTGGGGCCGTCTTGGGGCCGCCTGGGGCCTTCTGGTGCCTTCTTGGGGCCGTCGTGGGGGCCTCTTGGGCCGTCTTGGGGCGATCTTGGGGGCCTCTTGGGCCGTCTTGGGGCGATCTTGGGGGCCTCTTGGGCCGTCTTGGAGCGTCGGGAAACGGAAAAGGCGAGAACCCCAAAAACCTTCAAAAACTATTCAAAGATCATAGAAAATTAAGCCCCTGAACCAACGGTGCACGCCGGAGGCGCTTCGACTTGGGGCCATCTTCGCTTCTCTTGGAGCGCTCTTGGGCTGTCTTGGGGCCTCTTGGGCGCCTCTGGGGCCGTCTTGGAAACCTCTTGGAGCGCTCCGGGGCCGTCGTGGAGGTCTCTGGAGCCGTCCTGGGCCGAAAAAGCCGCCAACTTGGTCCCTGGATGGTGTGTCTTCGGAGCCTTGGTGTGAAGCGCCTTTTACGTTGCCGCTCGCTCTGGGAGCCCTGGTGTCGAGAATTGTTCACGTCACCGTTCGCTCGTCGGAGCCTTGATGTCACGAGCTTGTCACGTCACCGGTCGCTCTTGGGAGCCTTGGTGTGGAGAGCTTTTTGCGTTACCGATCGCTCTATCATGTGGCGTCTATGGGCCTTCTTGGGGGTCCTTTTGGGGCCCGGGGGCCCTCTGGGACTGTCTTGGGGCCCTCTTGGGCCGTCTTGGGGCCCTGTTGGGCCGTGTTGGAGACTCTTGGACGCCTTTGGCCGTCTTGGGGCTCTCTTGGCGGCCTCTTGGGGCCCTCTTGGGTGGCTCTTGGGGCTCTCCTGGGGCTCTCTTGGGGCTGTCTTGGGGTCCTCTCGGGCCGTTTCGGGCCCTTTTGGGCCGTGTCGGGGCCTTTGAGGGCTCTTTGGGGCCGTTTTGAAGGCCTCCAGGAGCGACTCGAAGATAATGCCGGTTCGGAGTTCTCTCCGGAGCCGATTTTTCGAGGATGTCTCGAGCGAAACGGCAATTGTTCCGCAATGTACCAGAATCCGCCAGCGAGGTGCGGGATGGAATCGGTACCCCTTAATTAGAGAAAATTAAGCCCCTGAACCAACGGTGCACGCCGGAGGCGCTTCCCGTCATCCGCCACCCTGCGCTGGCCCTCAATGCCTCCTCTAGTTCTCTGTGCTGAATATTGCAACTATACTTTCAGGGCCGAAGGGCCAAATTTCGAAACCTCCTTGGCGCGCTGTGGCGCTCGTGGGCTCGGCCGCATGTATTTTTGCAGGGATGCCCAAACGGCGCCAGGACGGGCCAAGCGGGCACCCGAACGGTCCAAGATGGCCCCGAGTCGCTCACAGATCTCTCCAAGACGCCCAAGATGGCCCAAGTGTTAAATCGGGCGTGTCCCCCTACAGGGAGATTTTGGGCGAAACATAAAACTACTCAAAAAATGCCCCCCAAATGGGTAAACATAGTATTAAGAACAAATCGTCCCCAGATCATTGTTTGACTATTTGTTGATATTCCTCCTGTAGAAGGACAGGCCCGACTTAACCCACGTGGCAAAGGCGCCCCACGGCCAACGAGGCGCCCAGGAGAGCCCGCAGGACGGCCGAAGAGGGCCCACGACGGCCCTAGCGGCCCCCAGGACGGCCCAAGAGGGCCCCAAGAGGAGCCCAAGAGAGGCCCCAGAGGTGGAACACAACCCTGCACTTCGAGCCCTGCTCCCCGAGCTGGCCCCCGAGAGCGCCAGCCACTCCCCCGAGAGGCCCCCCACAGGCTCCAGGCCCCCCAAAGGCCCAGATCGGGCGCCCCGGGAGGCCTCCAAGAGACCCCCGACAGGCCCCCAAGACACCCCAAGCCCGGGAAAATGGGTGTCCCAGCGGGTTTCCCACGCAAGGCGGCCCAAGGCGTCCAAGATGGCCGGGATGGCCTGCGAGATGCCTCCCATATTGTCCCAAGACACCTCCAAGTCGGTCAATATTGCCCCAAGACGACCCAATTAATGCTTCCTCCGGGCGGCCCAAGAGGCCCCAACGACGCCCCAAGGAGGGTTGGGTCCACGTTTTGAAGAGACAGCGCCCCGAGTCCCACCTTCCTCTTCCCCTGCTCCCTCCTCCTCCCCCTCCTCCCACCCTAGCCTCTGCCTTCCGCATGTCCACTTCGGCGCACCACTCACGCGTTTCGTGGCCCCATAGGGAACTCCAACTAAGCCCCCAGTGGCAGCGCCCGCATGGCACCACCGTTCCTGTTTCTGGCGCACCCCTCACGCGTTTCGTGGCCCCATAGAGAGCTCCACCTAAGGCCCCAGAGGCAGCGCCTGCATGGCACCACCGCACCCGTTTCGGCACACCCCTCACAAGTCTCGGGCCCCATAGGGAGCTCCGCCGAGGGCCCCAGTGGCAGCGCCCACATGGCACCACCCTGCCCGTTTCGCCACACCCCTCACAAGTCTCGGGCCCCATAGGGAGCTCCGCCGAAGGCCCCAGTGGCAGGGCCCGCATGGCACCACCGCCCCCGTTTCGGCACAACCATTTCACGTTTCGGACCTCATAAGAAGCTGCACCTACGGCCCTAATGGCAGCGCCTGCATGGCACCTCTTCACACGTTTTGGCACACTCCTCACACGTTTCGTGGCCCCATAGTGAGCTCCACTTCAGCCCCCAGAGGCAACTACCACATGGCACCACCGCACACGTTTCGGCACACCCCTCACACGTTTCGCGCCCTTAGGGAGCTGCACCGAAGGCCCCAGAGGCAGCGCCCGCACGGCACCACCGCACCTGTTTCGGCACACCCCTAACAAGACTCGGGCCTCATAGGGAGCTCTGCCGAAGGCCCCAGTGGCAGCGCCCACATGGCACCACCCTGCCCGTTTCGGCACAACCATTTCACGTTTCGGACCTCATGAGGAGCTGCACCTAAGGCCCCAATGGCAGCGCCCGCATGGCACCACCGCACCAGTTTCGGCACACCCCTCACACGTTCCGGGGCCCCACAGGGAGCTGCACCTGAGGCCCCAGCGGCAGCGCCCGCATGGCACCCCTTCACACGTTTCGGCACACTCCTCACACGTTGCGTGGCCCCAAAGGGAGCTCCACCTAAGGCCCCAGTGGCAACTACCACACGGCACCACTGCCCACGTTTCGGCACACCCCTCACACGTTTCGCGCCCCATAGGGAGCTGCACCAAAGCCCGCATGGCCCGACCGCACATGTTTCGGCACACCCCTCACACGTTTCGGGCCCCACAGGGAGCTCCGCCGAAGGCCCCAGTGGCAGCGCCCGCATGGCACCACCGCACCCCTTCCGGCACACTCCTCACACATTTCGTGGCCCCATAGAGACTCCACCGAAGATGATACGCACCACCACGGTATTCACAACTGCATATGGTCGGGTCTTCCGCCAAGACAGTTTCAATATGTTTCAATGATTTCGGCGTTCTCGCCGGTCGGGCTTTCGACGCTCCAAGACGGCCC